ACATGTATGGAACACCTTATGGCAAGACTGAGATGAAGGTGAGTACAATGGAGTCCGGGAGGGCAAAGACAGGTAATGGAGTAAGGTGGACCTGGCTGGGGATGGGAGATGATCAGACAGCCCCCCTTGATAAAGAGCTCTAAAGATAACAATTGAAAACTGATTTCTACAAAATGATTCTTATTTGGCATTTGAATAAAAATAATCTAGGACAAGAAGGAAGTGAGAAAAGTGGTAAATGAAACAAGATCATTCATAATAATTGTTTATGATACAGAATGGGCAAATAGGGATCATTTTATAGTCTTAAATTTTTTGCATAAATTTAATATTTTTCATGATGAAAAGTATACAAGCAAAGAAAAAAATTAATCAAGAGAATAAATACTAGGCCATCTATTATACAATAATAAATTAACCTAATGGGCACACACAATATTAGCTTGGAAAGATTCAGGGCAGCTCGGGAAGGATCAGCAGAGAGGCAGGTATAAAATAGCTATTAAAAAAACTACATTTTTAAAGGTCCTTTTTGCAAATTCTATTCCTATTCTAGTCTGTAGTCCTTCAAATATTGATTAAAGTAACTTATTTTTTATTTTTTTCTTGAGACACAATCTCACTCTGTTTCCCAGGCTAGAATGCAGTGGTGTCATAGCTCACTACAACCTCCAAGTCTTGGCCTCAAGTGATCCTCTTGTCTAAAGACTCACAAGTAGCTAGGACTACAGAAAAGTGCCATCATGTCCATCTAATTTTTTCTATTTTTAGTATAGACAGGGGCCTCACTCTTGATTAGGCTGGTCTTGAACTCTTGACCTCAAGCAATCTTCCCACCTCAGCCTCCCAGAGTGCTAAGATCACAGGTGTAAGCTACCACAACTGCCTTTAAGGTAACTTTTTTTTTCTCTTTATTTTTTATTTCCTAACCTACTGTATCTTATGATAAGGTAATTTCTTTAATTCCTTCCCTAGTTTCCTTTCCATCCCTTCCTCCCTTCTTTATGACAGGGTCTTGCTATGTTGCCCAAGATGGAGTATACTGGCATAATCATAGCTCACTGCCACCTCAAACTCCTTGGCTCAAGTGATTCTTCACCTCAGACTCTCAAATAACAAGGAATATAGGGTGGCACCTGTGGCTCAAAGGAGTAGGGCATTGGCCCCAGGTACCGGAGGTGGCATGTTCAAACCCAGCCCTGGCCAAAAATTACAAATAAATAAATAAATAAATAGGACTACAGGCATACACCACCACATCTGCCCGATTAAAAAAAAATTTTTTTAGGGTAGCACCTGTGGCTCAGTGAGTAAGGCACCCGCCCCATATACCGAGGGTAGTGGGTTCAAACCTGGCCCTGGCCAAAACTGCAACAAAAAAATAGCTGGGTGTTGCAGTGGGCGCCT